TTACAGCTAAAATTCTCTAGAAAAGGCATAGATAGCTCAAGTTACAGAAACTATCACTCAAGATTAATATTCAAATGAAAGAAAGCATATTTGGCACTTATCTCTGTTTCTATGGCTCCCAGAGAAAGCTGACAGGATATGTTTACATTCAGAAAATTCTAATTACAGGCAAATAACTTAAAAACTCTAATCTGTTTCCTTTAGACATCTTTGAAGACAAGAAAAGGAAGATGGGTTAAAGATAAATTAGATAATTAAGCATAAAGCGAAAGACAACATTACAAAAATGAGCTTTTTATTGTTTTAAGAACTCCAAGGAGCTGTCTGAAAGGCTTTGGCACTAATTGAAAATAGACTATAGAATCAATTGCTTCTGCAGTCAATGAGGAGGAACGTTTTAATTGAATTATAAGAAAATATATGCATTCTTCAAAATACTTTGACACTTGAGAAAATAGCCAGCACCTGGACTTATCTTTAACAGAAAGAATCAGACAGATGGACGCTGAACAAGTTCTCCTCATATTAGTATGACAACAGATGATTTATTTCAAACCCTCTTGTAGGAAACAGCAATACCTCAAAAGTTTTAAGAAGCAAAGTGCTTCTCATGTTAAAAGTAAATAAAACTGAGAAATGCTCCAAGAAGCAATCAAGAATAAACCCAATACTCTTACTTTTTCTCCATGCTACAAGATCAAGCATATTTGCAGAAAAGCCAAACACTGGATTAGATAACCAGCAACATACAACAGTACCATATTTCACTGTTCAATAAGATTATAAAATAATTAGACTGCATAAAGGATTTGTAAATATATGTATTACCAAGTAAGTGATTTTTATCATTTAGCATTATCTGTTTCCTTGGCATTATTTAGTGGGAGCTATTGGGAATAGGTGAATGGTTGGACTGGGTGATCTTTTAGGTCTTTTCCAACCTTGGTGATTCTATGATTCTATGATTCTATGATTATCTGAAGAAGATTTAATGATGACTGTGATTATAAATCTGCTGATAGAACATCTAGTCTAACTTCGATGAAAGTCAAACACAAGGGCTACACTCAAGACCCTTTTATTACAAGAGCCAACAAGAAAAGAGAAAAAAATTGGTGTCAATCTTCTCAGTGTGTGAAATTCATGAGTTAACAGTGCTTACATACACTATAATACGTGCTAAAACTAGACTTGGTCTTAGTCTGCTATATGTAAGTCAGTGTTTATTCAAAAGCAAAGACTAAACTACCTGCCTTGATTATAAAGGAACCCCCTACACCAGCACTCGGCCAACGCTTTGCTAGTTTTCTGATAGTGCTATCTTATTGAGTTGTATACCTAGGAAAAACTGAATGGTGCCATTCATCAGCAAAAGGAGCACGACATCCCAAAATCTTATCTCCAGTTGCACACCTGACATACAGCAAAGTTGCTTTACGGTAGCTTAAAGGCCAGTGTGCAGATAACCTTAGACAGAGAAGTCTAAGTTAATCACACAGTTGGACAACTGACGTTATCCATAAGTTATTTTGATACAATGGCACTAGCATGCTAATTTATGTGATGTCCATTTTCTTATCATGGATTGGAAACACCTTCACATAAAACAAAATTCTAACATATCATATGGACTTAGCTTATAGTCTATGCTAATTGCTTTTGGCATATTTCCCTTTGTAACAATTTTGCCAAGTCTCAGAGGTGCTAAATGTAGCTTTGAGAATGTTTCAAAACAAAGTATTTTTCCTCAACATGAAATACAGTAATTTTAATGAGAAATAATCAAATTAATTTTAATACATTTATGTATGCAACCATCCAATTAGTCTATATTCAGGCAGAATACAGTCTGCATCGGCATTTATTCAAATACAAATGGGTGCAACATATGAAGAATTATTACAAAAATCTAGCACAAATTGCACAAATTTCAGAATTTAGGACTAAGAAACTCACTACAAAGTTATGCTGAAGCTAAACAATACAAATTCAAAGAAAAAATTTGAGTACGCCCTTATGAAGATAGAACTCAGTGTACAAATTCATTCTTTTGCTGTCTCTCAAGGGATTCTTTGAATCACTTCTCAACTAAGGACTGTATGAAGACTTTACAGCCATTAAACTTATTGGTTCTGCCCTTTATTCTTCAGCCAGTCTTGGAGCTAACACAGACAGCTATCTCCAGTTCTTACAAAAACAGCACCTTAGGTTAGGATAAGCAGCCTGTTAAGGTGCGCAAACTCACATATAATATGACTATTATTATTTAATTATATTTTAGGTCAATTTCTGTTAAATCAATTTCTGTTAAACTTAATTACATCCCTCTATGGCTTTAAACTGGGGCAGCTTCTATTAAGTTTACTTTCTCCTGGGACTTTCACAGTAAAGACAAATGATAAAGGTCCAGTTACTAAATGAGGGCAGCTATTAAATAAGGCCGGCTTGTATTAAAGCTGGAAGGTAAAGATGTAGATACCAGATGAGATTACCTCCTGGTAAAAGAAATGCCTTGTATGGGAAAAAAAAAAAAACAACTGGGGAAAGATGAGAGAGAAGGCAACAAACTTCGGTCAGCAATTCCTTTAAGATACCAGGCTGCAATCTAACAGAATGTCCAAAATTCTACAGTAGCTTCCTGTGAAGTGGGTACAGGCTTCTCCCTAATGAAAGGAGAGAAAACAAAGCACAACCTCTGGTTCCGGTGACCACGAGGTACCTTGAAAGAACCTGCAATCTAATTCCAGGTAGTTGTTGATAAATAAAAAACCTATTAGCATTTTTATAGAAGACTAAGAAACATATTGCAGTACAGTTTAGGACTACAGCATACCTTGAGCTTAAACAAATTTTTGAAATGACAAACTTAGAGTGTGTGGTTTTTGGTTAGTTGATCGTTTTTTTATACTATGGAAGTTCTAAAAATCAGTTTATTTTTTTACTGTGGTTGCAGTACTATTTGTGGAGAAACTCAGTTCTTTACTTTCACGGTCACAGCACTAGTGCATATAGTCTGATGAATGTGGCTATAAGAAATGATAAAATAATTGCATTGCCTCAATTACCATGGTTCTGTTGTTTCTTGGTGTTCTTGAGGTGTGAAACACTCAAAGGTAGTTTAATCTGAATGCACAAGTATAATAAGGGGCTCTGTCCATAAACACATACATTTCTATAATGCTGAAGCTGAAATAAAACCAGTTCATAAATGCGCTCCTTTCAAACAATGTAAGTTGCTGTATTTGATATATACAGAGATACCTATTAGCAATGAAGTTGTTCTCTCCCTTTTGATGTACTAGGGGATGGAAATATGCAGAGAATCCCTCCTCCACCTTGTTCAGTATTCCTAGTAGGAAACACACCATGCCACCTTGGGGCCAAAGCAGTTGGCAGCAACTTAGCCCAATGACAGGAATAATCTGTTTGGCTGAGGGCCTACACCTGATCTTCACTAAGCATCTGTTAGATTTAATCAAAATAATGTTGAAGATAATATACATATTAGTTTCAAATATACCTGAGCAAAAGATTACTGCAGCAATTCTTGGGTGGACTTGAGAAGTGAAGAATTTTTAAAACTGAGAGGATATGGTCTATTTGACCAAATTTTCCAGAAAACTCATTTTTATCTTTTTGGGTTTTTTTTTTATATCTGAAAGACAGATTTGATTTTATTTTTTAATCTGATAGTTAGAAATTATTCTCTGAATTTCAGAAGGCAGAATTCAAATTAGCAGAATATCAATATACCAATAGCCAAGCAAGAGCTCATACACGCCAACTTTGACACAGTTTCTAGTACCTAAAATTACACCATTCATCTTACCTGTTAAAGACAAGAAACATATTGATTAAAATATCTATACAATTATAGGCACTGTTGTGTGGTTTGTGTTTTTTTTAATGAACTGAAAGAAATATTAGGGAATTCTGAACAAGAAGACACGACAGATGTTTTGAAGATACACTTGAAAAGATTTTTTAAATTTAGTTTTGCAGAGTTGTAATCAAACATTCTGTGCAAACATACATTTAAATACACCATGGATAGACAGTTATCAGTACATTTCACTACATCTAACAATATAATGCAAGAGTTATTTCAGTGCTATGACAAAGAGGACACCAACAATACCAACAATAATTGGGGAAAAATAATATAAATTAATATGTAGCATTTAAGAAAGTTGGATAATTTGTGTTTTACATACAGAAATTGCATATGCTGTTTTCTGTAACAGAATTCTGATTGAACTGTCTCTGTCATGTGTCCTACATGGGACTTCCAGAATATGAATTCTAAAGACCTAGTGTCTTTCTTAAGGCCTGAGGTCTGCCCACACATCCACAGTTGAGGGTCTTTAGGCCTAATGAGGTTCTGATGTACTGTGAATGTTCTGGTACTTAAACCAATGTGTACAGAATCCATGTGAGCCTTTGTTTTATAGGCCTGCTCTTCTCAACACAAGTTTCTTTGTTTTCTTAAATAGACTTTGATCTTCCTTCTATAGTGTACAGTCACCAATGAACCAGAATGAGAAGCTGGGATACTGGTACACCAGGGCTTTAATTTTTTTCCCAAATGATTATAAGAACTTGAGTATAGGTAAATACCAATTAAAGTCAATTAATATTCACACAATGGCTCATGAATGTATCTTAGACTCAAACATACAACTTTCATACTTTGTCAATAATCAATTTTCAAAACAAAATAACAACAAAAAAATCCAGTTCAACAGATCACATTTATAGCATAATGATCTATTAGTTTTTGAATATAGGTGAAGAGGCAAATCCTCTGTTATTAACCTGGTACAAGCAGGAATTTCCAGTTAATTCAAAGAAATGAGAATTCATAACGGTCAAAATGAGAAGAGAACGTAGCACAACATGCATAGGACTAGAATTAAAGAGAACAATGACTGAAACATACACATATATTTGATAATGGAAGGGATAATTAAGATTCTATCACATGAAGTTTTTATCTTTACCTGACAATCTCATTATTCAGAGAAATGGCTCCCAGGTACTTCTTCAGTGCATAGTAATTATGGGTATATTTTCGGACATAATACCCTCTCCATCTCTTCTGAATCTACAAGAAATAAAGACTTGTTTAGTACATTTTAAATTGAAAGTTTTTATGTGTATGAAATAACTGTTATATTTCCCAAAGAATAGGATGTCCTTAAAAGCACTATCAAGAAGAGGCACCACTACCTTTAAGTGAAGAAAATGCAGGTAAGATGTAACATATTGTAGTTAAATGGTGATATGAATTTACTATTAAATGCCAACATTATCAACTAATATCAAATTTTAAGTAACTGTTTATGTTGCATCTGTTTATGTTGTTAAGAAACATCTGCTATTATTAACAATGCTGCTAGTGGCATTGCTTCATGTCAGAATGGTAAAAAGAAGAGGTGCCTTTTTTTGAAATTACAGGATCTGTACACTCTTTTGTGCTCTGGATATGTTATAAACTGAAAGAAAGACTCCCAGTAACTCAGTGAATGAGGATTTCTGAAAATATCATTTACAAACTGTTAGTCTTTCCCATATAAGATGATGCATGTCTGTTTGTTACACATTAATTACAGTCTTCTAACAAAACGTTATTCCTTCTGCCTAACAGATGAAGCTTAAGCCAGAAAAGGAAACCTCTTTATCTGTAGTTAATTCTGACATTGTGGTAAAATAGAAATTATGTAGTGTCCTTCATGAGAAAGGATTCAGCTTAATGCATTTTAAAATGCATCAGTTTCAAAAAAAGACAGTTCAGTCTCTCCCCAAGTACTGGCTCTCCCCGAGTATTTAGTTTAACAAAACAGTTTAAACATTCCCTCAATATGTGAAAATACTAATTATGACGTTTCTCAAACGATTTACTGGCTATATATTTTGTGGAAAGGCAAGGGAAGCATTAATTATCACAACCACCATTTGCTAGTCATATCTATCCCTCTGTACTGCATCACATATACTGATGCTGCTGGAAAACGTAACTTCTTTTCAGTCATGCTGAGGGCTGTTTTCAGACTTCATTATCTACACTGTAACAGATCAGTGTACTTTGTATCAGTAAATCTCAAAAATAGATTCACAAACTTCTTGTGCTCAGTGTCTGAATTTCTCTTTATTTACATTCTTCCACCCTTGAATTTATCCACCTAAATTATTATTTAGTTTCTTCTTTGTATTGTTTCTCTTGCTTTCAAATGTATTTCAAAATTAATTTCTCAATTTCCATCTTTAGTTCTGCCTTACTTTATTTCTGTTCCAGTTCACACCTCATGATCTTTGTAGCTTTGAAATCTTATGAGACATAAGAGCAGAACAACAAAATCTACTAAATAAATTAAAAAAAAAAAGTCTGAGGTCTTGCTATGGAGGAGCAACTTCATGGTTAGAAGCTATCCATCTCAACGAGATGTATTGAAAAAAAAAAAAAAAAGAAGATTCAGATTTGCCAAGAGCTCTCCTTTTCCTGTAGGCCTCTGGCCTATAAATGTTATAAGAAATGCAACTCTTCACTGCGTCTACAAAGAACGTTTTTCTTGTTTTCCTTTTGCATCAATTCTTCTCCTTCCAGAATCTCAGAAGCAAGCTACAACTTTTTAAGTGGAGTGAATCCTTTTTTTGCTACTTTGTTATTGCTGCTGTTGACTGCTTTCTTTCCCTAACTTCTATTCCAAAGTTGCATAACGCAGAAGAGGCAGAAAGAGAATCACAAACTGTGCTTGATTTAGGAAAGAAAGCAAGGGGGAAAAAGGCTGCCACTTGCTCAAATCACAAATCAGACTCTGATCAGAGTGACTTCAAGTTTGGGCAGAGCTCTTAGGAAACAGGCAGAACTGTCTCTACTCCTTCCAGTTCCTTTGCAGTCGAACTGTGTATCGCTAACTGTGGTAACAAAAGTTACTGTAATTTTGCAACTGCCACCACTTTCTGTGTGAAAACAATAACGTACTGGAACCATCTATATGAAGATTAATTAACAACTGCATAATTTTAAACATTGCCTCTGGTATCATTCTTCAAGCACAAAACTATTGTTTAAGGTAAAAACAGGCATTTAATCTAACCTGATAACACCTAGTGGTACAGTTATTATTATCTCTTTATGTAAGATATAGTAAGTATGACAGGAAAGCTTGCACTAACTCTGTGAGTGATATGTCACAAAAAAGTAAAATGATTCACTAAAGGTATGAGGAAAAATATTTACTTTTAGAGTTAGCATTCCCTTTGTGCACTACCATGCTTTTCCTCTCTTCTTAAATGAGACTCAAAACTAATATAAGAAGCTGGTGTTTTCTTTTACCTATGTGTTGTTTCTTTGTTTTTAATAAATAAATAATAAGAGTTCAATCTCTAGACATTGATAGAAATAAATGTCATGCAATCAGCTGAACACAGGAGCAAGAAAGGTTCACACTAAACATGCTTTCTTTGCACAAAAATTGTAGTAAATTTCATAGTCTTTACAACTCCCTTTCTCATGCACAAGTGCATCAGGTTAAAAAGGGATATAGGAAGAGGAAAGCATGAGCATGCCTTCAGAGATGTGGGATTAAGCAAAATCCTTTGCATGTGAATAAGGATCTTAGCTTTGTTTCTCTGTTTGGCTTCAATATTTCTCAACAAGAGTAACTTGGCTCCCATATAGCTGTGTGCTCATTAATGCAGGATTATGGTCCCTTTGAAACTATTTCTGACAGTCTTCACCTTCCAGCTATAAATGCAGAACTGGATATTTGTTGGTTAAAGGATCAAAACCCAAAAAGAGTAAAATTGCATAAACCTATAATTAACTCCAATAGGCTCAGTGTACCAATTAAACATCACATTCTAACTTTATTTACACCACTTCCAGTCTAGAATGGCCTCACTGAATGAATCATAGGAAAGAAACATTGCATTATATCACAGATTATTTTATGCTGCATAAGTTGCTCTGAAAATTATGCCTCCTATCTATTGTCATGGAAACTACAACAGTTACAAAAAGCACAATAAAACTATTTGATAGAGCAAATTCACAGCTAGAAAACACATTTTTTCAACATAATCACTATCATTAACTAAGTGTTTTCACCAGTAATGAACAAGAGCCTGCATGCTGTGCTTGTTAATATTTGCTCAGCCATTTGGTAAGCAGCTTGTGTTTCATATCACTGTCACCACTGCTGGGACTCAGTATCCACCATTCATTGTGCTCACAACCACTGCCGTTTGGTCTCCATAAATGTTTGGCAAGCATTGATGAATGTCAATGGATGCCATTTTTTCCACATGGAGTAATTCAATTCCACTTATTTGGCTTCATATGCACTTCCATGTCAGACGCCATTTTGTCAGGCTGCCCCTTGGCTGCCATCTTGCGGCAACAAAACGTAATGAAATACTGGTAGGAAGGCTCAACTGCTACTGCCATACCACCAACACCCACCTCTGCTGTCCTGGGCTAACATAATAAAATTACTTTAGGAGTAGCACTTGTTGATTTCTACTTCACTAATTATATGTGTCAGAAATCAGAAGACTGAAGCCTAATCTCTTTGGAAAAGAGCACTTTACACAGCTATGTTAATGAGGCTCTTGTAATGTGAACATTCTAAATGAATGCTTAATAAATGCTAAATAATGGGCAAGTGTTATTTTTGTAGTAACGTGACATCTTAATTTGGTGCCTTTTGTCTTGCACCTGTTTGGTCTGATGAAACATGGGCAGTGTGGGCAACATGTTCCAAACAATGACGCCATCATAGCAGCTTTGAAACAGCGGCTCACCTCATCCAATGCAGATTTTTATGAGCATGGGGTGCAGGCTCTTGTTCATCACTAGCAAATATACAAACCTAATGGTGGTAACTGTTGAAAAATAATTTTGTAGCCAAGAATTTGTGCTATCAAACTGTGTTACGGTGCTATTTGTACCTGTTGTCATTTCCAGGGAAATAAACAAGAGGCATTATTTTCGGAGTGACTTATAATGTATTACAACTATATTTCTTTATAATTCCAAGGTGAATGTTTGAAAATTTCTTGGAAAAAAAGAGGCAAGTGTGTATGCCCTTCAAAGTAATTAGCAAGTTTCAACAGTGATTGGTACAAAACAATTATTGTCATTGATCAGCACTGAACAGATAATTTTAAACAAAGTCATTGTGTGCTCAGCAGATTACAGCTTGTTAACGGGCAAGTTCTAAATGACCTCTTAAGCTAGTCAAATCAATGATGCATATTCCTCATTAAGTAACATCAAAATGTAAGTGGTCTTATAAATAACGTTTATTTTAAGCACTAAAACAAATGGCAAAACCTTGATATATCAAAAGCCATCTGCTCATGAAAATATTTTTTTTCCCAGGGATTATTTTTGCAGCTGAAAATTTATAGCATCTTAAATCTTTTAGGAGGCAGAATCATGTTGCAAAGTAGTGCTCAAAAGTAAAATTAATTAAAACAAGTTCTTTCTTTTAACTCACAAGGATGAAACTGACAGTTCTGGTTACAAGTAAATGCAATACAGGGAGACAGAGATGTAACTGTCTTCAAAACTGTGAGCATGTGTAATAATTCTAATATCAAAATCAAAAATGTCTTTTCGACCAGTGACTGGAAACCAAAATAAATCATTTAATAATATTACGAAGCAAAAGTTAATCATCTAATACAAAAAATATACACAGTTAATGCTATATTTTCAAAACACTAAAGCATTTTAATTGTGAATCCACTCCATTATGTGTGAATACAAGGCACTGTTGGCTTAGGAAATTCGAATTCTGGCCATACAATTTCCTTGAACAAACTCAACAGGCCTTAGTTGTTGTTGTTCTGTATTTCTGTTAGTTTTTCAATAACCGGATAATGGCAAAAAAACACATTCAGTGTTTCAGAATTGTAGCATTTTAAATCTGCTCTGTAGATATGGTTGCAAAAGATAAAGAGAGGTGAGAACTGGATTCTGATATTTCCAATGAAATAATGGTCTGTTCTCTTGTTTTCTACTGATTTAAATTTCCATTAAGGAAAAGGACGACTGAAAAAATGCTACTTTGAAGATTTATATCACCTAATGATTCAACATTATATTTCCATTACAAATGAATGAGAACACATTCAATTTCAAAAATGAAAGACCAAATGCAAAACACTAGTTGACTAGAATATGTAATTACCTTTGAAATTTGGTCTTCAAGTGCCTTCCAAAAGTACATAGCTAACTTTTGAGCGAGGACTTACACCATATTTTTTCCCACTGATTTTAACTGCATGAATACATAGCATTTACCCTCTATAGAATAATTGCAAGCCAGCTAACTAAAGAATAAACTAAAGCAAATTAGTGCATTTTTGAACAATTAGATTGCTGTAAAACATCTTTAGCTCTCTAAAATACACTAAATGAAAGATTCTTGTGCTTTTGGGAGAAACACCACCAACTCAAAAACCTAATGGAAATCTAATGCCACAGCTTTTGATTCTGACTTATCTGGGAGACAAGAAAGGCCACAGTTCTGGGAGTCTTTCTACTTCATAAGAATCTCCCTGGCTTACTCTCCAAACCCATCATATCCCTTCGTTTGGTAGAATCCAAAATGTAATATGCCTTGCCTGGTCTTGCCTAGGCCTTTAAAGTAAAGCACATTTTGTTGTTTTTTCCCCCAGTATAAAAGAAGTAAAGGAGGCAAAAAGATTTCATCTCAAGGATTATCTCATGTCCTTACTCCTTATCTTGTTTGCTTTATTTGTTCAAATACAGTTCCAGAGTCCAGGAAAAAAAAAATGCTAATTTTTGTTTAATATATTTTGAAGCTTTCCCATGACAACTGTATATTTATTAAACTTCAAGGACTGTTTACTCACTTCTTCATCAATCACAAATCACTCAAAATATCATCAATGAGATCAGAGCAGCTCTAACCTATGCCTGGCAGTGAACTCATCCAGTACAAAGTAACTCTTCTGACATTCAATGCATCATTTGTAGAATAGTAATGAAAGAATAAGCACAGCTATTTTAATGAACATTAAACTTCTATTGTTTGTCAGAATTTTAAGTAAATGTCTACATTTGTAAGAATACTCCCAAACAAAGTGTTTGTTATATCATCATATATGGTAAAGTACAACGAACATTTAATGGGGCAAGGCACACACAAATACCTTCAATTCAGCTACTGTTCTCAAATATAACTCAGGCTACTGAGAGTAACTTTAATTTTTAACTACGTACTATTTCCCACTGTTGCCATCAGCATATCAATCAAGTGTATATTATTCTGGTTTGCTCATTTTATTAAAAGCAAATTCGGAGCACAATTGACTTTTCATTTGTTTAACAAGTGAAGAAATATTTACCCTGACAGCCATTTCATTGTAGAAATTCATCTTCATAATAAAATATGCTGTCTGTGAATCAAGGAAAAAAAAGATGGCATATATTTCAGTTAACACAAAGACAGTGCTCCTATTTTTACATATAAAAGATAAGAATCTTTATACATAATACATAATAAGAGTCCTAGGCTTAGAGAGAATAAAATCAAACTTTGTATTGAAGAGATAGGCTTCCTAATACATAATGCAGGCTTAACCAGAAAAATCTATGGTAGTCAAACTAGGAGCTAATGGAGATATATGATCATAAAATGCTCTCCGCTGAGTTTGATAATCAATGGTGCTCTACTGAGAGTAGAATAACAAAGCAGAAATATTCACAAGTGCTGGTGACACATAGTATTGTATGATTTATTCACTGGGGTTCTTTTAGCCAAAACTCACAGAAACATAAAAGGAATTCATATTTCAAGACGTCTGGTTTAATGAAAAATTCAAAGAAATGCTGTCTTCAGTCGAAATCGTTCAAGGATACGGATGCAGTGATGGAGCAAAATTGTACCTTCCAACCATCTGTACTAAATGTTATGTACTTAGCTGTCTCCCGAGTAATCCTTGGGAATTTTGTTTCATTTAATATTCATTTTAACATCATAAAATCATAAATACAATGATACCATGTTACAGTGAATCCCCTGATATAGAAAACATTTCCTGAAGTCCTGGTTTCCTTCCAATAAAGTAGAATTCCTTTCATAGTGAACGAATCCCCTATTATACTAAGCAATCACTTGGCAGCATAGGTTATTTTAATGGATACATCACTTTAAACTAAGCTTTCACATCTGTTCCGCCCTCTAATTACAAATGCAAAATGAACATAATTCACAATTGTATCATAAAAAGTAAAATATAAGTACTTTGAATGCAAGAGTATGTCCTTTATTTAGCACAACATGCAGCTTTTATGTTTTTCTCATGTTTTAGACACAAATCAAAGGCAAAAGTGCTTTCCCCTGATATTGTGATTTTCTCCCCCATGGCAAACAGGAATTCACTATAAAAGGGTTTCACCGTAATTAGTGTTATTTGAATTGCCTAGTCTGATCCAAAGCAAATTGTCTGTGGAGAGCAGCAGGACTGGATTATTTATCAACAGTCTGGGCAATTAAGAAACAGTTGGCTGCAATATGTTATTTACAAATGAACACAATGATGCTACTTCATTTTAAATTCTCTTTCTTCATTACATTAAGCAAGGCATAATTCCTGCAGTTTAATTAAGGTGCATTTTAAATGCTCGCTTTAATATCATACCAATCTACTAGTAATAGATACAGGAGTAAATATATTTCCTAAATGAAAGAAAAATGCAAAACTGCTAAATCTCAAAAAAAAACGTTTCCCTTATATATGTATAAGCATATACACAAGTACGTTGATGTATATTTTATATATTTGAGGGATTCACAGTTCCAAATGTATGAATTAGAATAAATAGCAGGCCTTATCTTCACTTTTCTCTATGTAACTACTTTCTAAGTGCTGCTAACTGTAGATATCTAAGCATGTTCTTAAATTCTTTAATTAAATTGGTATAAGTTTGCTTTTCAGCTCATCTTTTCTTTCTTTGGAAGATATAAGAGTTGCAGTACCACCAAATAGCTTAAATATGATAAAGGGTTTCTCTCCATCAGTGATTAAATTAACCAATCTCACACTTTTTTGTTTTCCTCACACTTGAAGGCCTTGAGCGCTTTGGTTTGAATGATTCCAATTCACTGCAGAACCTAACTTATCGTCAGTGTGCTCTTTATGTCACTGGTAGTAACTTTCCCTTTTCCCCTGAACTTAGAGAAGTACTGAAGAGCTTGGCAAAAGCACCTCCCTATGACAGTCTACTTACAGTCATCTAGACTGCAAATACACACCTCACACAGACATGACAAATCTGTACCTTACACTACCACTACTCAACAAAATCACTCATAACAGGATGGGAATTACACATTCCTGCTTTTACTCAGCTCTGCTCTAAATCACAAGTCAGTCAAATGGAGAAGTGCTCATATCACTTCGTTTCACAGTTTGCTTCTCTTGTGAATTCTAATCTAATCTTGATTAGAATACGACACAGTAAACTCTGCTTTTACAAGTGACAGATGTGTTCATCCCTTTTCACAAAAACATAAGCATTATTTCGTGCTTCAATTCAAGTCTGTATTTACATTCTTTCTAGTAAACAAAATATTATCTTTGAATCCAAGGTCCTCTCTTATCCAGAAGACACCTGCTTATGTCTACTTTTCTCATGCTTAAGTGCAATTTCCTGCATTTCTGTTTGTGATCACTGCCTCTCATCACATCATTGGACACCAATTCCAAGGCTACATTTTCATGCTGACTCTCTGAGAAAAACTATCTCACTATCCCATCCACATGAACAACCACCACCACTTCCACTACGTAGTCTTTGTATCTATCTTGAGGTTCATGAACAGATCTCCCTAACAGTTTACTGTAAAGGCTACGATTCCAAAATTGAATCTTTTTGTGTGTAAACTGCTGCGCTACGCTTAATCTTTCTCCTTTTTTGCTATTTAAAAACATGCTGATCACTTACAAATATTTTCTGATTAGTGATCAGTGTTTTCGTTGCATTTATATAGATAATGCGAGGTGACAATTTCAAAGAACCAGAATTGTGGTTGCAAACAGATACAGAGAAGGAAAAATCATTTGGTCTGAGTCAATATACTTTTTTAATAGAAGAAATAAGCGTTTGACTAATTCCTGTTGATCTGGGAATTCAAAACTGGCTACTGAGTTGAAGCTAAACTATTTAAGATGGTTTCAAACTATGTACCATAAAAAACTTTTTACATATACATATTCTTCCAAAGGGAGCTGAAAACAAGCCCATCGTGCATACCAACTTCATTTAATAACGAAATGTTAGAATTCCATTTGCCTCAATAGGCGATTTCTTGTCTTTGGGAAGTACCATAAAATGGAGCACAGAGATATAGACTGATTCTTGTTTTGGTGTTAGCCTGGTTTGAAAACTCATCCTTTCCTGCAGGTACTTAAAGACTTTCAAAACCTAGTACTACCAATCTAACAAAGGCATTAAGAAACTTCTAGTAGCTCAGTTCTTAATCTAAACTAAAGAAAGAAACATTTTTACCAAAGCTGCTATAATTAGAATATAGAAAGCTCCATAGCTTTGGTCACATAAACTAAAATAAACATAAATAGATTTTTTTTTATTAAGTTAATGAATGTTAAAAATCAACAGAAGAGGCACTAGAGGAATAACAAATGAAATACTAGTAGTGATGCACATATGGACAGCCAATCTGATGAGCCTCAGCCTTTGTTATTTTCCGCATCAGTACCACTCACATTTCACAATTTTGAATATAATCATTAAAATGATTTACTATCTATGAATCATGGGTATTTTGTGCATATGGTTTGCCTTGTTTGCTGGCAGCAGATACCAATACAGTCATTATCAGCAGAGAAATTTTGAAGTGACCAAATTTTTTTGTGTTTAAGAAACAATCATGTCAAACATATTACCACACATTGCATTATCGTGAGTCATTACAACTACTGTTAGCAAGAGTTCAGAGTGAACATCAAGTGATCTTTTAACTGAAAAATTGCATTTAACTGCTGGTAGGATTTTTGTTTCATTTTAAAATTTTCCAAATTCACCCAGTCACTGAGTTTGCAAAAATAAGGGTGAATACAGGGAATGAACTTGAACTTTGTGTCTAAATACAGTTTGAGAACAGACAACATAGAATATAGCAGACTAAAGGGACAAAATTATCTGCTACTTGTGTAGTTTACAGGTTGGCTTCCAATCAGGCTGGGCTATTCAGTCCTCTCCAAAAAGTCAGGAAGCACAATTGGAGGCATTTGAGGGAAATTATGGTTTTCTATGCTGATTGCTCTATATCACTCGCTGTCGTGATTCTGTTTCTCTAAACTTCTGGCTAATATTGGACAAATGCCAGAAACTGGATGGATTTGTTGTATAATTTTGAATATGTTTTAAGTGGGTGTGCTTAAGGCTTTGTCATAGATTACAGCACAGAAACCAAACTTCCCTAAATTCAAGGACAACATTCAGTGAAGTTTTTTATTATTATTATTTTTTTTTTTTAATTTATTTTAAAGCAGAATCCAGTCCAACTACACAGCTATCTAGCTTTAAATTAATTAAATTAGCCTTTACTTAATTAAATTAACAATAATAGAAGTGTTTCGGAAGATGGACTGAGAATCACAGCCAGGAAGGATGATATAATTAAGTTAAGCCAGGTAAGCTGGCTTAAATTTTACTGGAAGAGGTAAAATTTTAATTAAATGACTGATAATTGTAGGGGAGGAATAGAGAAGTTCTAGGCATACAAGTCTGCAAGCATAAAAACATAGTTTAGTAGGAGGCATGGACATTAGCCTTTAAGATATGAGTTATAATGCCTCAGCTTTTTCCTTCTGCTTTACTTGTCAGTTTTGACTAAATACAACTATTAAAAATATCCATCAATAGTAAATGACTAACAAGCCAAAATTACTGTAAAATATTCACACAAATTGACAAATTACAGAAGTTAACTACACATTAAAAACTTTACTATTTTAAGTTAAAGATAAATTAGCTCCTTCTTAATCTCCTAAACCTGCTAAAAAGGTTTCAGCTCGTATGCTGTCATATATTTGTGCCATCTTCCGCTCTTTCAAGGGAATTAGATTGACTGTGATCCGCTGTGTGCCTTAAGGCAAAACCTCAAATACTTCAAGGTTCATTAAGTAAGAAATTTAAGCCACTAAAATATAGAACAGTGCTATGTAGAGATATGAGTTTATATTATTTTCAGAATTAGAGTTTCTACCAGCAAGAACAAACAAACAAAAAATCATCTTGAAACACTCCAGTCCTGCCATTAGCATCATGCAGGCAGGCTTCTACATGAGCAGATCTCATTGCTAGATTGGGAATTGATACTGCAGAGCTGCAAACACTTTAGAACTAACTTGTCTACCATGAACAGGTTTACAAAAATGTACGGTGTTTTTCATTATAGTAACTGTTCAGTACATAACTGCGTGCATCAAGAATCAAAGTTTCAGCTCCTAAATTTCAAGGCAAGGAAATGAATTACTCTGTACTTTTTCCATAAATATGCAAATAATTTTTATAAACCCGGTTTTCTACCTTAATCATTTTTCTGAAGTATCTTCTGCTTTGATAACCTCTCCACCATTTCTGTATAGAAATCGCCATTTTGGTCAGATATCTAAAATTAAACATATTTAATAATATGTTATTTTGAAAGATTACAACTGCAGATGCATTAATTCCTAATATTAAAAATAATGCATAGTGCTTTACCTATACATACTTCAAACTGAAGGCCACTGCAGACCTACTTCATACATATTTGTGCATGAATGCAGGCAGACATATATATACGTGCACGCACATGCTTTACACACCTTTCAACTTATATACATACATTCACACACATTCACTTTACTTTTGGAAAAAATCTGTTACTGCAATCTTCCACATGTATAAACACACATACTACTTCCATTATCATTACAAAAGATTTATGAACTGGTTGTAAGAATGTAATTTGCAAGACAGCTGGTTCCGTGAGCTTTTTTAACCAACATATCCAACCACTTCAGAACCTGTACTGGGAACCTTTTGTACTACTTACCTACGAACATCTAACACAGAAACCACTCAGTACAGCTACAGTCACTTATTGGAGGTAGGCCTTCCCAGTACATGATTCAAAGCATGGGGGTAATTCAGGAGGGTTAATCAAAATGCTCACAACTGAATATATTGAAATTGTGCTCCTAAGTCCATCCATCTTCGGAAAGAGGGCATTCACTGAGCAGGATCACTCTGTACACAGAGGCAGAGTAAATCCTCTTCTCCACTTACTGATTTACTTTTACTTGCATGCTCATAACAATTACGTTGCTTTTTCTTATGTTACAAAAGCCATATGTGCCATTAGGTAGTACAGATGTGTGTTTAGAAGAGCATTTTCCTATAGAATACATCAGTAGAGACACTTGAGTTTTCACTTTCTTATGCACCATGCTGTTGTCACTCATCTCAGAAAGAGAGGGGCACCAACTACTCTTGTCTGTCTTTGGAGGGGCTTTTGACATGGATGGTACAGCTGATATTCTGTGAAGGGCCAAAATACCTTGTTTCCCTGCTAAATACATGCATATGATGGCTGCATCCTGTGACAACACACATGACAATGGACAACAGATTACTAGTGTTTGTTGTTGTTGTTTTTAAATAAGTGCAAATAATGGCTATTCTTGGGAAAAATATTGGTCTTTAAGTGATTAATGCTATTCAGCCTAACAGTAATTTAGGATTGACATAATATGTCTGGGTGATACATAATAATTTGTGATAAGTAAGGGGTCAAACTGAAATATCTAATAAGCTCTATCCCTCACAGTCTTAAGCTTTATAAGGATAGTGAAATTCAAGTAAATGAGTTGGACCAATTGGGCTTACATCCATGAAAAATGGAGGAGTCTCCTGGGAGAGGAATCAACAACACTTCCAAAAAACTTATCTAAATGTCATATGTGGCATTTTACAGACCAAAGTAATTGTTTATGATTTCTGTTTTACAAATGGAGAAAAATATGTAATGAAACAATTCAAAAAATGACTTAGCCAAATTGAGCAGTGGAATTTAATTTTCTACAATATGAATTCAGTCACCAAATGCTCACTAGGCAATTTTTTTAAGGTCCACAGTAACTGAGAGATGAAAAGTCACTGCAAAAAGCATATCTGAGGAACATCCTCATCTCCCCAGTCACACCAAGATCTCATAATTAATACTTTCTATCTATTAGGACCTATTAGTATAGTGTTGGTGGGACTGCTAATTCTATTCTAAAAGTTTGATTATTAATTGGTATCAAAACAAATTGAAGTTAGTCACAGATAACGGGAAAGACTGGCAAATGCGTCCTGATGTGTAGTCATCACAAATGGGTCTCTGTAGCATGTGTATCCAAAACAATTACTACAACCTTTTCAATATGTGAGGTTGAGAAGTGAGTACTACTTGCAGTGGTGGGGCAGGTGACAGAAATAGGACCCAAGGCAATGGCATGGAGACATGTCCAGGCATGGCCAGGTTGGGGATTAATTAGGAAACGGTTCTTCACCAGAAGGTGATGGGCATGGATCAGGCTGCCCAGTGGTCATGGCCCCGAGCTTCCAGAGATCAAGGATCATTTGGACAGTGCCCTCAGACATAGGGTTAGAATTTCAGGCAGTGCTATGTGGAACCAGGAGTTGGACTTAATGGTCCTTGTGAATCCCTTCCAACTTGGAGCATTCTATGATTCTATTTCTGAAGATGGACTGTTTCTGCAAAAAACTGTGACTGTGCTACTTATTAGAATCTTGACATTTTAATCACATTTGTTCTGAAAATCAAAAACTTTTTAGAGTAGAACATACGTTTTATTCATTTGATAGATTTTTTACTTTTAAAAACATTCTCATTTTATTGAAATTTTAGAAAGAAATTCAGAAATGAAACACAGATTAAAATATGTCTAACACACTACCTCAGATAGGCTCGGACTCTGCATCCTCGAAACCAGCTCTGAATTTTGACAGCAGCTTTGTACACTGTTTTTCTGTCTTCATCCACAGATCTGATAATATAAGAAGGAGTAGTTAGTTATAGTAATCACAGAAAATATAAGAAGTAATAATACTTGTTAACATAACAATTCACTACCAAAACAGAAAATTCTTTCTAATTATTCCTTACTGTAGCTTGTGATCTTTTTCACTGGATTTTTGCATCCACAACTACAATTATATTTCCACATACTTCAATATTACTGCAGAAAAAAATAATTTAGTTTAGCTGTATAACATCAAGATAACGGAGTTAAGTCTCTGGAAGAGAATTAGTGACTCAGTGATAGGCTGTACCCAATTTTAAAGATTTTAAAATCAGTACAGAAAGAAGACTAAATAAAATCGACATATAAAAAAAAAAGAACTTTATTAGGATTGGAATATAATGGAAAAACAGAAGAAACTGCATTAGATCAATGCATGAATGAGCCCAAATTATGCTACAACTTAGTACAGAATTAAAATGATTTTAAAAGGATGTAAAAACTAAACATCACTGTATGCTACTGCAACCTTAAAGCACTAGAACATCTAGATGACATAAGATTTGCAAGAATGCAAGCCTTATTCTCATACAGTACTGAATACCCATGTTATATTATGGGCCTCCTCAGTTGTAGCTGAAAAATACAGATAATTCTTTATTAATAATTAGGCCTGAATTATTACAAAGCCCCCACAGCTGTGTATGCAATTGGGTAGCTACAGAGATATTAAATAAATTAACTACAGTCAATGTCATCATTGTAAATACTGAGTGTTTATTAAGGATAAAAATTTTATTAAGGAGATCTAATTTTAATACATTTTTTTATGAACAATACTAGAAGTTTTATTTGTATATTGCCTGAACAATGATGGAATCCATGGTGACAGATATCTTGTCACAGACTTTTTTAATGAATATGAGCTTATATTACAGTACAAATGCAGAAGATTTAGACCTTTTAGCTGCTATCTTAGGAAGGAATTAAAAAAAGAGAAATACTGAAAAGAGGAATAAATGACTAAGAAAGGGTGAGAGATTAATATAAGAGAAAAATATTCATAGGAAAGAAATTAGATGCAGAAATTTCCAAATTTTGGAAGGCTTGTAATATCAGGATATGAAATCTGAATGTAGCCTAATAGGAAAAGGAAGCCAGGAGTTAGAAACAAATCTTGTAAGTAATTTGGACAGATTCCAAAGAGATGATCATGGGGATCTTTTTACACAGAATTATAGTACTCAATACAACAGCTTATTGAGTCTTGACAGGACTTTGCACAATGGGAATTCAAAGATGTGGATTTTGGAGATAATGTAAAAATGAAATTGGTGTGTGCTGCAGGCCAGAAAGGAGGGAGCAAAAGGAAACGAAGTAGAAAACATGCTGGGACTGCAGCATTGACTAGTGTAGATGCTAAAGGAACTGATGATGAAGTGAGGATATAGAGAAAGAATTTGTTTTTAAGTTACTTGAGAAGAAAGGTGATCTACAGAGATACTGGTCAGGCAGATGAAGATGCAAGGTAGACTTGGGTGGAGAACTGATGACCTTGAAGTGATCTTCAAGAACTATTACCTGTCGAAGACTTATGTTAAATTAGGTAGTGCAAGCGAAAAGCATGTGCAGAAATGGGGCAAGAAACACAAGCAAAAGAGCCTCATCATAAAGTTACTAAGTAATCCCAAGAGATAGTCCCTGCTTGTCTTCTTCCTGTGACTTGCTCTATTAGGAGAATAGTGATTGTGACAAAGCAAAAAGGCACATAAGGAAACTTAGGAATCTAAAAGAGACTAAAGATGAGAGTTTTCGGAGAGTTTATTACAAGTTCCAGTGCTGAAGGGCTGAATCATTTTTATTTAAGCAGGTCCAGAACAGAACTTTTCTTGCAGTTTAGTTTCCACTTTCAACTGGCCTTGTCAGCAAATAAGAGGTTTGGAGCATAAGTTGTGCAATATTATATCTACCGTCCTGATCAGATTGCACAGTTGCAAGACATTCAACTAGCCTTGAAGAGTCAAAAACACTTTTCAAATACTTTTTTTTTTTTTAAAGATATATTAATGGTCAAAATCTGACATATAGATATTACAGGACATAAAGTAAGTTGTTGACAAAATAAGTGTGCTCACAGATCTTGTATATTCTAATGTTTATCGTGACAAAGGGCAGGCCTAATGCCTCTGTGCATTGTGTTATAATTGGACAAGACCTTCCCTAGAAAGGTACTTTCCCTAAGAAGACAGACAGTTTAGGAGACCCCATACTCTGACATAAAATGAAGTTCTGCATAAAGAATGACAGGAACACGATTAAGATCAGCAGAACAGCCAGGTTAAATCGATTGCTGGTCTAACCACAATCAACAGGTGGGACATTACAGCCATCGGCCTGCCCTGATCTTTAATGGAACAGCTGTAGAGTCCTCAAACAGGAAATGCATTCTGAAAGATAAAGTTTTTCTAATTTGGGATTTACTTTCAGGCACTTCAATTACTGCACTCTGCCTGCAGCAGCAATTTCTAGCAAGAATACTTAGTTTTCACCAGGGTCCCATTAAGTCGAGTTGCTCTGGAGTTTCTACATGTTCTACAAAGTTCTGCTTTTAGGTTTTGACAGATAAGTAAAGAAAGACATGTATATTTATTTGTTTTGTTTTTGTTTTTTTAATCTGTTTGGTACACGTAGACCTAAACCATTCAAGCTTTACTCCTGGAGGTACTTGGAAACAGCATAGTTAATACAAAAAAAAACCCCAAAACAAAAAAAAAAAAAAACAAAAAAAACAAAAAAAAAAACAAACAACAACAACAAAAAAACCCAAACACCCAAAAAATAACAAAACCAAGTACTTTGCAATCTCTGCTCTTCTGCACTTTCTGATGCTTCAGAGAAAGTTAAGTCTTTGGGAAACCTGATATTTCATGGCAGAATACTTCAAAACTGACTTCAAAAAGTGCTTTTTAAAAATACCACTGATTTCTGTATGAATACCATTTAACCATGTGGCTAATGAATGAACAGATTACCCACACTGGTACTCAGAGCTTCCCAGATTTGGCAATTTTAACAGATCCATTACTGTAAGTAGAATAGTTCTGCAGCAGAAATGAAAGCTGTTGTCTCACTTTGAACAAAATACTTCAGACTACTGCAAAACTGACACACTTCAATGCCCACAGTTTACTTGTTAAATTTAAAAGTTAAGCAAAAGATCTTCACATTTATGTAGCATTCACATCTTTATGTCCTTCATTCATTGGGCTCAGCTGAACAACCATTTTCAACTGTGTTTATGTATAATGAAGCAAAATGCTGAGAGGAACATTTAAAAATATGTCATAAATAATTTCATCATCATTTTTATTCCGAAAATGCAGAGTATGTCCAATGATTTAATGGGGCTGTGCTGTCTACAGAGGAATGCACCTCTGAGAGCACTTTGTCTCATCATTGCCTAAACATTACAAGGGGTTTTACAATTTCTGCCACTTCACAAAAGCAATGAATATGGAACTGGACTATTAACACTTTAAACAGACATGAAATCAGATGCAGCGTTTTAGGGACATGGTTTAGTGGGCATGGTGGTGATGGGTTGGCAGTTTGACTAGGCAATCTTAGCGATCTTTACCAAACTTAATGATTCTGTGATTCTATCAAAATCTCTAAACAAATTCTTCTGATTTCTTTCAAGCTTTTACTGACAGCCTTGTTGAAGAAGTTCAAGATTTGCACACTAAAGAACAGAGATCAGATCACTGGTCAACCCTTTAGCTCAGCAGGACTGTTTGAAGCCTCTCATTTAAATTCTCAGATGAAAATGTCTGAGTTTTAGGAAGCTGATGGATTATAGCCCATTCTTAAAAGCTTATTTTCAAGAAGATGTGCCAAAAACAAACACCAAAAACAAACAAACAAAAACCACCAGACATCAAGCATGCTGCCCGCTAATGGATTTCCATGTCTGGCTCAGCCTACTCCTTCTAACCTGAAATGTATGAAATCCTAGAGAAGTCTGGAGATGCTCAAGGCCAGGTCCTGGGATGAGGTCCTGGGTAGCCTGATTTAGTGGTTGGCAACTCTGCTCATGGTAGGGGGACTGGACCTTGGTCTGTAAGATCCCTTCCAACCCAAACCATTCTGATTCCATGATAAGAGAAGGTCATATAGCCAACTGCTGTACTGCTGCAACACTATGAACTGGGGTTCAGCAAAAGAACAAGTAACACAACACTTCATATATTAACTTCAACTCTTAACTTTTAGTAATGTTACTGTTGTGTTATTGATGCTATTGGTGCTGTAATTAGTTTCTGAAAGAAAAGCTGCATTAAATAGTGAAGAAAAACAACTATCCTAAATATGTGAGTTTTAGTGTTAACCGTGCACTAATAAGTACAGTGCATTTGGCTTTACAGTAAATTCACATAAGTAATAAAGTAGGTTTTAAATAAAATAGGTCTTTAAACACCTCATTTCCTAAAACATTTCCTAAAATGTGACATGTTACAAGTTGTCTGCTGCCTTTGCTGTCATAAAACCCCTTAGAATCCCTGCACCAAGGAAATGGCAACAGGTGGCCTAGGCAGACGGTGCTGCCCAGAACAGGTGTCTCTCTCCTTTGATGGAGAAACATAAAACTTGTCATGGGTGCTGCAGAGGACCGACGTCCAGAACCAAAAGAACAAGGGCCGAAGTCAAACTCCATGATCTGACATAGCAACAAGGCAAAGTTTCAAACACTTAAGCATCTGTGGATCTTAAGCATCAGCTCTCTCAACGACTTTCAGACGCTTAAAGTGAGTAAATAAATAGATAGGTAAACAAATAACCGGACCCTTCAGGGAACCTGCTGCTCTCTTCCTTCGGACCGGCCGGCAGCACTGAGGGGGACGGTAACGCCCGCCGCTTTGGGCAGGAACAGCCGCCATCTCACAGCCGGGGCTGGCAACGGTACAGGCGGCCCCAACCCAGCGCCAGGATGCGCGTCCCATCCCGCTGGTGTTACCTGTTCTTGAGGAAATACTCCTCTCGCAGCCGCGAGAGCCTCGCCTCCAGCCGAACCAGCGCGGCCATGCTCCCCCCGCCCTTCCGACGCCACAGCCGCCATGGCAACGGGGCCGCACCACTCTGCAAGCCCGCGGGGAGGAGCGGCGTATCCCGCGGCGCTGCTGGCCAGGAGCGGAGGACGCGAGGACGGCGGGAGCGCCGCGGCGCTGGAGCCGTGAGGGACCGTAAGCACGGTGCGGGCTGCGGGAGGGCGCGTGCGGCGGTGCGGACGGAGAGGGGGAGAGACGAGATGGTCGTGGCCGCCTTCCTGCCGCAGCCGCGGCCGCTTCCGGGCTCTCATCATGGGGGACTGAGGAGCAGCGCCGGTCGCCCGCGTCCTCCCCGTCCGGCCCTCGCCGCCAGCCCCCGACCCCGTGGCGGCTCCCCTCGGCTCAGTCTCTGCGAAGCGGCGCCAGCCTCCCTGGGGAGCGGCCGGGGCAGGCGCCGGGTTCATGTTCCGGGTCGCCGAGCCCAACCCGACCCGAGCTCCGGCAGCGAGGAAGAGCTGGTGAGGCCGGGCCGCGGGCGGCGGGGTCGCCGCTTGGGTGGGAGGGGAAGCGCCGAGGGAGAGCCGTCGGGTATGCCGGGTATGGGGCTCAGCGCCGGGACTGGGGTGCCCCGGGCTCGGCCTATGTCCAGCCTAAGCGGGGATTTGTTTTTCACCGTGGCACGCCTGCCGAACGCCTCACCTCTCAGTGTAGGCTGCCGAGACGTCTCGTCCATCGAGGTGCGGATGCTCTTCTGGGGCCGTCTTGATTCAAACCGAGAATCAACAAGTATGGCTTTGGCCAATGGCCAACCACAGCAGGTGAAGCTACGGTGTGGTTCACGGGTTGTTTGTTTCTAGATGCTAGGGCAGCACAGGGCAACAAGCAACAAAGCTGTGAAGGGTTTAGAGCACAAATCTTTTGGGGAGTGACTGAAGAAACTGCAATTGTTCAGTCTGGGGAAGACTTTGCTATCTACAACTGCCTGAAAGGAGATTGTGGTGAGGTGCGGGTTGGCCTTTCCTGCTGGGTAGCAGCTACTGGATGAGAGGGAATGGCCTCAGGTTGCACCAGGGGAGGATCAGGTTGAATATTAGGAAATATTTCTTCTCAAAAAAGAGTAATAAAGCACTGACGCAGCTGCCCAGGAGGTGGTGGAGTCACCGTCCCTGGAGGTGTTGAAGAAATGTGTGGATTTAGCACTGAGGAACATGGTTAGTGGGCATGGTCGGGATGGTTGGCGTAGGTGACCTTAGTGATCTTTCCAGCTTAATGATTCTCCGAATCTTTATTAGCGCAGTGACTACATCTCTATTATTACATCTCTAGTAGTACAGTGGTAACTCTGTAGCAGAAGATGGAAGGGTGAGTTTTGTTAACAGGCAATGGAAATTAAAAGGCTGTTTGAGGGGAGCCCTGATGAAGGATCACAGTTTTGGAAACCAGGTTCCGTTTCCTTCACAACCAGCTTGTTTTAATCTCTTGCACAGTATTTTTAGTGTTTTATGTACAACTCAAGGGGATCTTACAGTTGATTTCATTTTCACTAATGGGAGTGGAGAGGTGTGTGATGAGTTTTGGTTTTGTTATTTGGTTTGTTAGTTTTGTTTTTCTTGAATGTTGATGATGACTCCAGGCCTGGCTTGAGTCTTGGCTACTTTTTCTAGAGAGAGTTTCTGTATACAAACATCTGCAGTTAGAGTTCCCAGAGGTTCAACAAATTTGCCCTTATCATTGTCTTTGTTTCTTATATGGGCATGGGGAAGAAGGGAAAGATTGGTTTAGCACTTAATTTTTTTAATGTAGCAAACTCCACCACTTCATGTGATAGCATCACTGTTTTTTTCCTGGGAGTATTTTCATGCCTCTCACATTTTTATAGGAGAGAAGGCTTTCTAATTAGGATTGTACTTGCCTGGATAGCATATAGTTCTAGAAAACTTAAGACTAGTGATGTTAGTATATGTATTTGCCTACTCTAACTTCTGTTGATATAGTGTGTAACACTTCAGAAAATGGGGTGTGTTTTTATGGCAAAACTATATTTATTCTATACTAAAGCTGTATGTAGCAGAAACATGGCTTAAGACCTTCCTAACTTGTATCTTTACTATGAAAAAGTTTTCATTATAAAGTCAACCTGTCATTTGTCTTTAAGTTTTATTCTTTTCTGTCCATGTAAAGTAATTTAGTTCCTGAGGCTTTAAAATCAATGTTCAGCAAAACAGGCTATGGGATTTTGACATATACTCCTGTAGTTATCCTCAGACAGCAATGACTTTGCTTGTCCAAATACACTGCCCAGAGAAATTCAGTACTGAGAGAGTTATTGATGCCTTGTAATTTATAGGACTGTTAGTTTAGTAGTTCTGAAGGGAGATCCATTTAAAAATTCTAACAGTCCCTCGGAGTTGCACTTTTCTTATCCTTGTTCTGTAAGCTGTCATTTAAAAGAAGCCTGTTTGATTGAAATGTAGCGAGGTATTTTTCAACGCATAATACTTAATGTAGAAAATAAAGAACTTGATCTTAGTAAAAATGTTAAGGCACTAAAAAAGCTGACAATTTCTGAACTGCCGGAGAGTAGAATTGTTCATATCTACTTTGAAGCCAAAGGTTTTTCATTTTTTCCTACAAGCACCTATGACAACTCAGGAATAGTTTGCAATTTGGATACTTACTGGGCACTCTGATTCTTCCAGCAATGACTTTGATGGTGCAGTGTATTATCACCATTTGACAGTTCATGTGATTCTCCACCTTGACAATTAATTAATGAAGTCATACATCTGAAAAGGGCAAGCATATCAGTAAATGGCAGCAATAGTATTGCAAGAATTGCTACCTCTCATGATAAATTGCCCCAAATCTCATTTCTGGCTGACCAATTCATTTGTGTTAGAGTGTTATTAAATGTCAGCATCTTTCTGACTGTATACCATTGCTCAGTACTGAATACTTCTTCACTGTTAGATATGAGTGGAGAATGTTGTTAAAAAGGCTTGAGAGTATTTGTTGTTGCTTTTCTTAGGTAAGTAGCAATTGTAGGAAAGCCAGAGGAACTAGATACAGGTTTGCCTGGCCTTAATTTTTAGGGGGACCAGCGGCATAATCAGCTGATGAAATTCCATCGTTACTCATATGCTAATAACTTTCTCTTGTGTAGGTCAAATGTAGGGGAATTCCTAAACTACATCTAAAGTATTTTCTCAAATGCAAAGTCAGGACTGAGAATTGACTTTTAATGTGTAACTTGGGGAATAAAATGTTGTTTGTACAGATAACCATCTAGAAGCCATGTATTTGATATCAAAACTAGTTCACTGAAAATTCCAGCGAGTGTAGTAAGTGTCCAGCTGTAAATGTAGAACTATGACTTAAGTAAAATTTCATTTTTTTTGAGGCCCTTCTGCACTTCTGATTGTGAAACTGATTTATATAATGCAAACACACATCTTCCTACAGAAAGAGAGTTTCTGTACCTCAAAGATGAACTGTAGCCAGGGATTTGGGGCTTGTTTTTCTTTTTTTAGACATAGGTGTGCATCAGTGCAGTGTCCTGACTTGTCTCAAGCATCCTTGATTTTGTACCTGTTCACAATTTCTTATGCGAAACTCAGAATAATTGTTTTCTGAGGCATAATTTTTGTAAGCTTGTTTTGATGTTTTCAGATTTTAAAAAATTTACTAAAATGAAAGTTACATTTGAGTTTCTTTGGTCTGCACATCAATTTTACTCTGAATTTCCTGGCTCTTAGTCTTCACAGGAAGCACTGGGCCAGATTCTTAGAAGTGGAGGATTCTCTGTTGCTTGACTGCTAGCTGCTCTGACTGTGATGGTTGTTGCTACAAGAGTGGGGTGCATTTGGGTCATTGTGTAGCTTTGGCAAACCTGTGTGTGCTGTGGAGAGCACATAAAGACGTAGCTAGACGCAGATATGGACTGTATGCTCTGGGTCCTCCTCTTAGGGATGGCCACTTGGTGGCTGATGGGTTTAAATAATGGAAGCCTGACTTCTGTTTCTTCTATATACAGTAAGTGTATTTACCATAATATATTTAATAAAAAAAAAAAGTCAGTTATTTCCTTGCCTGCTACAGTATCTTATTAGCTGTTTACTATTTTAAACTTAGTTATGTTGCTCTGATATGATTTCTGCTTCATGCTTATCCCTAGAACAGTGATAGTTCTTCAGAATCAGTAAATTCTCTTGACAGGGCAGTGAGATTTTTCATTTACGGCATCCTCCCAAGTGCTTACATCTGTTCAAATTTCAGCTTTATGCAGCATTGAAATATCAGAGAATGGTCTGGGTTGGAAGGGACCTCAAGGATCATGAATCTCCAACCCCCCTGCCACATACAGGGCCACCAGTGTTTAATACTAGATCAGGCTGCCCAGGGCCCCGTACAACCTGGCCTTGAACACCTCTGGGAATGGACGGGGCATCCACAACCTCTCTGGGCAGCCTGTTCCAGCACCTCACCACTCTCTGCATAAAGAATTCCCCCGACAACCAACCTAATCTCCCCTCCCTCAACTTAACTGCAGAACAAGGGGAAATGGTTTTATCTACCCTTTCTAAGAGTTGACTTCCCTCCTGTTTGTAGGCTCCCTTTAGGTACTGAAAGGCTGCAATGAGGTCACCCCGCAGCCTTTTTCTCCAGGCTAAACAAGCCCAGTTTGTTGAAGTAGTGGAGGTCTTAAAACTATTGTTTTTAGAAAATAAATTGAGGTGAAAAAAGGCTTGAATTGATACCTGTTTGCAGATAAAGGAGCAGTGTGAGTGCAAGCATGTTACAAGACATAAAGGAATCCATATGAGACGAGATTATATAAGTGGTTTTATAATCCCAGTGTGCAAGGGAGCACTTGATTTTTATGTTCATTTAGCTTGTGATCAAGGCTGATTGTGAAGGAAGGATAAATCATGGATCTGAGGAAACTGCTTTTCTTTGGATTTGTTATCAATGGTTACTTTTCACACTTGATGAGACAGATATGGCATAACTTCTGCTGCAAGGAACACTTTGTCTATTTAGCAGGAAAATCTATAGAACTAGACGGTAAATGTAAATACAGCTGTCAGTAGAAGATATTACCTCTTCTTAAGAATTGTGAAACTGTATTAGCTCTCTTGTCAGTGTGTTAAACATTTGTTACATGTTCCATGAGCAGCCAGAGCTCTACATTGTGTGTGTTAGGTGGGAAGTGAACAGAAAGTATAGTTGATTTGCAGTACAAAAACAAGTGCTTAAGTAGTAGTGCTAACAGGGATTAATGCTACTATTTAGTACTTAATGGAATCACTGCTACTTCCGTTAGTAGTTTCTATACTGAATGTTAATGCTATAGGTGATCTGTGTTAACTGGTTTGGAGTAGGTAAAAACTGTTATGTTGTTTCCTGAAACCAGAACTTTTATGGTCTGTTCTGATAAGAGTAGAGAAGAAACAGGTCAGCCTTGAGTGAACTATGAGGAAATTGCTTCAGATAATTGTAAAGGTCAGTGTAGGCAAGGTATATTTTCTTATAGTGAAATAGAATCTTCTCCTAGTGAGGACATTACCGTTTATTGCTAGCTATGGGCTGTTGCTGTAACATCGTTTTTATAGCCTGCTGTGAGTCATGCTAAACTACAGCTCAACTTAATATTTTATCTATCACAGTATGTTGTTCTGTGTTCCTTATTGCAGTCTTTGAAATGTCTTGTCTTAGAGAATACAGTTGCAACTCACGGGTAATGTCTTTAATACTTTTTTTGTCTGACTCCCATTATCACAGTTGTTTCTCAACCTATTTCAAACACAAATATTTTTGTTACAGCAATGATTAAGGTTTACTGCGTGGGGTTGGAATGCAGCCTTGACAGCTGGTTGTGATCAATGCAGAAAGCTGCAAAACTTGGTTTGCCTGATAAATAGTGCAGAAGTAGCCATATGCTCTTTAATTTTAGAGCAGTTGAACAAAAAAACGGTTTCCAGACAAACATCTGATTGCCAAGCAAGATCATAGCAAGAGAAAGGGGAGCTCCAGTAAAATTAGAGAGATTTCTTTTTTTCTTCAGAAATAAAGTTTTAATGTGAGCCACTGTCACATTGAAAGTGCAGTGAGGTTAAGAAGCTTAAGTACAATGCATTGTGGTAAGGACTCCTACTACAAAAGAAAAAAGCAAACCCACCCCAAGCAGTAAGAGAGAAGCTTCAGGAACCAAAAGCAAGAATTAGTATAAAATCAATGTAATGCTGCATACCTGCAAGTCAATTCTAGATTGACTCATTTCTCTCCCTGAATCTTGATAATTATTGCTTCATTTGAAACACTTGTTCTGCTATGTTGATGTTTCTCTTGCTTTTGAGAGTGTTTCTGTATGATTACGGAGATTTTGATTCTTGGGAACCAAATGGGTTAAGGACAGTTGTAGAGAGTTTGATTCTTGGGAACACAAGGATTAAAAACAGTTGTAGCAGTCTTCCAGAGCTTTTTCATTTCTTACAAGATAAAGCAAAGATTCTCTTGTACTAAGAGACAAATAAAATGTTAGGTTAAGTGAGAATAACGGGACTAGAGATTATAGCAGGTTAGAAAAAGATACAAAGAATAAATGCAATTGACAGAGTAGTTTCAGGAGTTCAAAAGGACTTTGTGTTTTTAGCACTGCTTTTCGTCAGCTTGCTAGTGAATTTTTAAGTATATGTGAAAACTGTGTAAAAGGAAAATGTATCATTTCTTTAGGTAAATGCTTTCATTACTGACTTGGATTTGTTTTTAAGTGTACTCACCAGTCCATCTGTTAATATTTAGCGTTTGTATGCTTTTGTGTTCCTAACTATTCACTATTACTGTCTAAGCATCTTTAACTTTGGAGTTTGTGGTGAATGAAGGAACTTATATGCTATGCATACAGTGTTTCTCAATATCTTCAACTCTGTTGATGTGCATAGGTAACTACTTATTAATTCTGTCATTAAGTTGCATTTCAAAAATCAAGAATCTTGCTTTTAAACATCCTGTATAAAACTTACAGGCAGTCCTGCATGTTAATCCATTGCCATCTTACTGGTGTCTTTCCAAAGGAGAGCCTACTGATGGAAGTTCTGTAGGGCGGACTGGCAAGGATTTGGATCTCAGCAGAAATACAACAGCATTTGTAGAATAGACAATCAGAGTACATTGCCTAAATGACTTAAATGATCTTACGTAAGATTGTTAATAGTTTTTTTTTTTTAAGATTCATTTGTTGTTGTTTTTGTTTTGTTTTTTTTCCTCTTGGAAAATACAGGCATTTCAGTAGGACTATGGAGGAGCTGGTTCATGATTTAGTCTCAGCACTGGAAGAAAGTTCAGAGCAAGCCAGAGGAGGTTTTGCTGATACTGGAGATCATTCTCGAAGTGTCTCTTGTCTTCTGAAGCGGCAGGCAAGAAAAAGGAGGGGACGAAAAAGGCGTTCGTTTACCACCCATCATCCCTGGGAGACTGGTCACTGTTTAAGTGAAGGTTCAGATTCCAGTTTAGAAGAATCAAGCAAAGATTACAGGGAGAATCATACTAACAAGAAAGACCACAGTGACTCTGATGACCAGTTGTTGATTGCTAAACGCAGGCCTTCCTCAAACTTAAATAACATTAGAGGCAAAAGACCTCTATGGCATGAGCCAGATCTGGCTGTGGACAATTTAGGAAACAGAACTTTGCGCAGGAGAAGAAAAGTGAAACGGATGGCAATTGATCTGCCATCAGAAGTTTCTAATGCACTGACAATAACTCAACAGCAGGATAACAGAGATCAAGAAATGGACAATGACAATAAATCACACCAACATCAGGAGTTTTCGAAGAGCAAAGTGAAAAAGAGAAAAGTAGCTGCAGTTCGACAAGGACCGGAAATCTTGGATGAAGGAGTAGTAATAGAAAATGAAGAAATGAACCAAGCAAATAAGGACAAAATGGAGTATGAGGAGCAAAAGGGCTCAGATGAGAACATGAGTGACAGGTTATTTTTTTTCTTTTTACAGAAACTTTAGATAATATTTGTTTGCTTATGTTTCTATTACTAATATTGGAAATATTTGTGCTTTTTTCCTTTCGTTTCAGAGTTAAATTGCTAGTACAAGTGGCATCTGTTTAACAATCTTCTAGGATTGCTGATGTTTTTTGTTTTCTTGTTTTTTTGACATAAGTTTGCAGTTCTTTAATACAAACTAAGCTGAATTGATCAGGTTAATGGAATCCAGCATAAAATAGTCAGGTAGCAGAGGAGTAACAAAGTAATAGTACGTCATAATTGTTTCAAGGGTAAGAATGACAGAATATAGAAACAATCCTGTTTGTTGTGGGCTTTTTTCCAGAGTATTTCAACTGGAAAAAGTTCTCATACACTCTCACAGGCAAAAATTAAGATTTTCCTAATTTCTAGACACTTTTGCTTTGGCTGTCTCTTCTTCAGAAAGGCTGTCAGTATTTAGGTTTATCTTTTAGACAGTATGTTCTTCTGTGTCACGGGCATAAAAAGTCTGCAGCTTCTTGCTAAGGATATACATCATTTATGAAATGCATAAACCAATTTACAGTTCAGAAACACCTGAGCTTGCCATTAGAAAAATGGGGGAATGATGACCCTTTGACAGTACTCCTCATCCATCCATTCCAGACAGCAGGCATACTACAATGGTAATTGTTTTGGAAGTACTATTTTGACAACACAGTAAGGTGTGTGTCATTTTTCCACCTTACACAAGGGACTTTACCTGCAGGGCCTGATAAGCCTGATTATGTTCATCCTGTGTGTCTGCTTCTCAGTACAGAACTGTCAACAAGAAAGACTCCTATTAGAACGCATAACTTTGATCTAATGTGTGACAGAACTACTGTCTCTGGTTGTGTTTTTGTTGCTTTTTTTTTTTTTTTTTTTTTTTTTCCTCTGGGCATTTTGTTTACAAAATGTTGAACAGCTTGGTTACAGTATAATGGCAGTATTGATAAGTGTCTAATTCCAATTATTGTCTGAAAAGTTATTTGAATTGCTTATACATGCTGGCGTAGTCTCACACCAGCAGATCATAAGCAGTTGAAAAAGTAATGTGAATCTTTACTTCTAGATAGTGTTCCTTATGTCTCAGTTATTAGAACAGAAGCAGTACTACTTGGCAGCCAGTTTAGCTTCAGACATCTCACTTCTACATTGAAGTCAGAGGTATTGCCTCATCAGGGAGCCTTTATAACAATTCCCTCTCTGATACAGGGAATTTGCCTCCCTCAGGGTCAGCACCTGAAGACCAATGATTAGAAATCTTCCTAGGAGCTGGGAACCGTTGCATGTTTCATCCTATGTGCATATGTCACATCTTTTAAATTTTATTTTTAAAGTATTTTCTTACTGTTGATTCCTACTTCTTTTTCTTTGAAGTTCAGGGCTCAATTTTCTGGCTCTCAATGCCGGTATCTGAGTGATTCTGGAGATGAATCCTGTGCAGTTGGTTCTGAGCACTAGGAATGAAATTTCTGATCAGAGCCTGTCTTCCTTTTCCCTTTATCGTTAATGTCAATTTCAGACAAATTCGGTGATAGATGGAGTTCTGGAAGATATTTTAATTCTAATTAAGCTTTTGGTGGTTTTGGTTTTTTGGTTGTTTTGTTTTTGTTTCTGGGGGTTTTTTGCTATTTAAGTCACTGAAAAAAGAAGAAGTCTGAATGTTGCTTTTGAAAATGAGAGCAGTTCAACTGAGTCCTTTAATGCAGGAGATGCTTACCCAGCAGCATGCCAGTTGGTGCCCTGTGACTGCTCAGTTATGGGGGCAGGATTAATTAGTAACCACTAGGCAAGGGGACAGTTTGCTATTAAGAAAATTGTTTCCTTTTCTTTATTTCCACATATGTGTAGATAAAGCTGTGAAAGCTTCTTCAGCATCAAAAGTGTTCCTGCAAAGTTTTTGCTTGCTATTTTTCATTGCTGAAGGGAATCTGTAACTTTTTGTTCATCGACTGCTACGTTGCAATTTTCTCAGGTGGAGTTCCTGCCCTGTCTAACTGCGGCATGAGAATAATGAACACTGTTTGCTGCTGGATATGTTACTGTTGGATTGTTTGTGATTTGATGGTTTTTGTTTCTATTTATTTTTAAACAAACGAGAGGGAAAAAGTAAACCGGCTGGCCCTTCAGTAAGAATAATTGCACAATGAAAATGTTGTATTAAAACAAACGAATGAACTGTTCCCAGAGCAGGGAATAACAGGAAAATTTGGTGGGGAAAAATGAAAGAAATACTGAGGCTGCAAGGATTTCCTACCTTTCGTTGTAACTGTAGTAAGTGGACTGGAAGGATCTGTGTAAAGGAAGTGTTTTTTCTTTAGAGAGATGTGTGATGTAAAACTGTACACACTAAGTGTAAGGCTATTCAAGCTGTCTGTGCAGTGATTAAATTGGTTATGATTGTTAGAGAAAAGTTACTAGCACTCACAGCATCAGAAGGCTTAAGTCTTGATCTCCTTCATGAAAGATAGTTACAGTATCAACACTTGTAATGTCACCTTTCTTCTGCTTAGGACAACTGTGCAAATTAAGCACTTGAGTCTCTTTTGTGTATATTATATAAAAGATGTATGTGTAAGTTTTGCTAATGTAGTAAGAATATATGTAAGCAGAATATGCAGCAATGATTAGGAGAACTTCCATCTTCAAAGTTACGTACATGAGAACAAGAAACTTCATATTGCTTATTGGCTCCTGATACCATATTATTTCACATTGTTGGAATGTTTTCTGGTGAGTAGAGGTGTAAAAAGAACTTGTGCTTTGTTTACACACACAGCCTGTGTGTAGTGTTGAGTAACTGCAGTATTTGCAGCTTTAATTGGAATATATGGTAAATTGATTATTTGTTTTGCCCAAATTGCTTTATGTTTCACTGTAAGTAAAACATCATTAACATTTGCTGAGATTACTTCCTGCTCTAGTCAACAGAAAGTAAATAAGTGATTTAGAGAAATCCCTTGTAGGTGAAACTCAACAAATCGTAATCTGTATTATTAAAAGGAAAGAATATTTTAAGTTTTTAGAGATTTTTTTTTTTTTTTTTTTTTTTTTTGCAATATGTGTACAGTAAAGTATGAAGTACATTGCTTCTGTTGGTTTTGGGTGTTTTTTTTTTGTTTGTTTGTTTTTTGTTTTTTTTAGAGAGAGAACTTGCATGCGTGTTGTATGCAGGCATTCTGATTTTAATGTTCTGACAGAAATTGTGGAGGAGTCATCTGTACCTTGTTTCCTTTTGTGTTTTTTCCTTGTGAACATTTGGTGGTGTTACAACCATTGACCGTACTTTCTCAAGATAACTTTTATTTTTATATATTTTGCTACTGGTGCTGTCAATTTTTTTTCTTTCTCAGTGAGACAATAATATATTGTGAATCCCTAAGCAATGCATTTTTCAGATGATTTGCCAGTGATATTTAGAAAGATAATTTGTATTTTTTCAGATTCCTGCAGTTCACATGCTGAAGGAAGGCGTAGGTTGCTTTTGATTGAGATTTTTCCTATTTTATTGAGCAGTGGTTTTCCAGAATCAAGCTGAATTGCGTAGCATAAGAAAGAAGCAGTGAACATTTGATGGAAGCACATAATAAAATGCATCAATTGTGTCAGCACCTCATAGCAGTCACATCTGGCCTACTGTCAGGGTACCATTAGATTCCTGTGGTTTTATGTGCCAAAAATAATACTCTGTAGTTAATGGAACTAGGATATTTGCAGTTTGATTAAAAATAATAATAATAAAATCCTATTTTCTTTCTGATCTTTGTTGTGCTTAATTTCCATCTGAGCACAGCCTTGTCTCCTTAACGTTTTACGACTGAAAGATCAATTGTTCTTTTGATCTTTTTCTTTCTTTCTCTTATTACAGTGAATCCAGCAGTCTGAGCAGCAGTGATGCTGGTTTGTTTACCAATGATGAGGGAAGACAAGGTATTGAAACAATCTTTCCTTTCACCCCTCAAACAACCTCAGTTGAAATTCCATTAAGTGTTACAAGTTATTCATGAGTTAATTACTGTTTGAATTGCTATTACTGTATTAATGAGCTGAAATAGAGCTTTCGTTCAGGGATTTTGAAATGTTATGAGAGGGCATCCCAAACCCATGACTTAATTTTAAAGAATTGAAATATCAAAAATATAGATAACATAAAAATATTTTGAAGATATTCTAATTATCTAAACTATTTTTTAGTTCTTTCAGCGCTCCACTTTTCTGACAAGACAATGTGATCATAATACTGCCTTTCAGGCTGTTTTTGATGTGGCTTATTCTTTTTTTCCCCATGTTCATGTTTGTGTTTTGTTCTAGAGATGACAATTACTAAACCACCACTCAATTTTATCAGTCTGACTGACAACAGATGTACCCTGTTTTAAGCCTCTCCTCTCTGAAGAACTTGCATTTAAATTAAAATGCAGTAAAGATTTAAAATTTCTTTTAATATACATGATCACGTTATTATCTGATATAACTATTGAGGATAATGGTCGAATATTTTGGTTTTTTGTTCAAGTTTTCAAGTTCAGTTTTCCCTGCGCTATTCTAAGTGTGACTCATTTAACCTTCACAGTGCTAGCATATTTGCCAAACTCACAGTTTAGGAGCCTGCAGTTTTTGACAATATAAAAAGATAAAGCAAAAAGAGTCGCTCAGGTAACGAAGACTTGCTGTGTTATTGATTCTAAGTGGATGGTATTGGAAACTACTGGGTCTGCCTCTTGTTTTGTTACATTAGCCCACAATGCCAGAGGTGGATGTTGGTGGTGTGGCAATAGAATTTGAACCTTCCCACCAGTATCCCATTTTATGTTGTTGCCGTGAGACGGATGGCAGTAGAGGGGCAATCTGACAAAATGGTGTCTGACATGGAAGTGCAAATGAAGCAAAGAGGTGGAATTGAATTCTTCCATGCAGAAAATATTGCATCCATTGACATTCATCAATATTTGCTGAATGAAGACCGAACAGTGAATGTGAGCACACTGAGGCGGTGGGTGGTACATCTGAGCAGTGGTGACAGCGACATGAAATATAAGCTATGTTCTGGATGGTCACGCAGATTTTTACAAGCACAGCATGCAGGCTCTTGGTGGTGGTGTCTGTGCTGAAAAACAGTGTTTTGTAGCTCTATCAAGTAGTGTTATTGTGTTCTTCATATATGTTGTAGTTTCCATGGAAATAAATAGGAAGCATTACTTCTGGAGTGACCTATATGTTTTCTTGTGTTCTTCTGCAGACTACTTGATTTTGTGCAAGAAAATAAAAGCTGGCATATTCTGTGGTAGTGCTTTGTAGTAGCTTCCCATCCATTGGTACCCCCAGGTCTTTTTCAGCAGTGCTGTGCTCAGTCCTTTCATCCCCCAGTTTGTATTGGTAATAGGGGTTGCTTTGACCAGGTGCAAGATTTTGCATTTGGATTTGTTCATCTGGGCCTACTGCTCAAACCTGTCTAGGTCCCTCCAGATGACATCCTATTTTTCTGGTGTGTTGACCACACCCCACAGCTTGGTGTCATCAAAATAGATACTCTGAATAACCTGAATTCTACCTGAAAAGTCTTCAAACATAACTACTATTTGGTCCTGTGAATCCCTTTCTATCTCTTGTTTTTCCCTTCCTCCATCTAAAATCTTCTGTTCTCTAGCCTTTACTAATTTTACTGCTAGTAGAGATCATTACATTTACTGCTAGAAGAGATCATAGGTCATCTGCAAGATACCAGTAAAGGACTTAATTTTCTGTTTTCTTGATATGTTTGTCCTGACAATCATTTGCATGCATTTTCTGTGTTTGGAGAAGGATTCTTTTCCATTCAACAAATTCTTATTTAGAGAAAGTGTGTTGAATTTTATTTTTCCCCAGACTTACGTTCTCATTACTTGTATTTTCCCATTATAGGAAGGAGTGGTAATGTCATTTCACACGAATGCTTTTTGTTCTTAAATTTGTGCATAAAATCTTGCCTTTGTGCCCTATGTCTTTCATAGTCCTGCCTAATTAAAAAAAAAAAAAAAATTGAAAAATGATATGCAGAAAGTTTGTTACTTCATGGAAGAGTTAAAATACATAAAATACATAGCACACCCTTCAAAATCTAACTTTGGGATATACGGCAAGTTTTTTTTCTTGTCTTTGAAGATATTTTCTGGTGTTCCGTCAGCTACCCAGTTTAATAGAGCATGTTTTAAAAACAAACAGCAATTTATTTTAATTGCTGGTATTGTATACGAGGTATATGTAAGATCAGGTTTTCAGTCATCTCGCTTTTGCCTTTGACTCCAAGTATTTAAATACTACATCTAAATACATTTAAATAGTAAAGTGACCAGCTTTGTACTAGAATGCAGTGTAATGCTCAATCACGTGGTATTGTCAGTTTTCATTTAAAATCAACTTTTTCAAAACTTATTTCTAAATGAACTTAATCAGATTAACTTCATTTAGTCACATCTGTTCATGATTGTTTTCCCTTCTTACTAGCCATACAAATCATGAAATTAAGCTAATTATATACCATTATCAGCTGCAAAGAACTAGTTTCACAGTTTTATACCTTTTAATTCCCTGCAGGAGATTAAAGCTTGTTTTTTGTTAATATGTAAAGTGCAGTAACTTAAATGGATTTCCCTGCAGTTATTGCCAAAGGATTAACTAGTTTATTATTGTTTTTCACTATTGTAAATTGGTTTTAAAACATTACATTTTATGTGCTTTCATTGATGGCAGCACTTGTCATGCTATTGAGAAACATTTTCCAAATAGAATTGCCATACACAAGTAATTGTTGTACAGCTATAAAGCAAAAGAAAGAATTGTCCTGACAGTTTTTATGGATTATAACATCTGATTTTTATCTTCTCTGCTCCTCCCTGTTTTTTGGGGGGCTTGGGTGTATGTCCCTACACAGGTGATGATGAGCAGAGTGATTGGTTTCATGAAAATGAATCTGGTGGAGCATGTGGAATAACAGGAATCATTCCTTGGTGGGAACAAGAAGACTCTACAGAACTGGACAGAGAATTGCCCGACCCAGTCTTTGAAAGTATCTTAACTGGTACTTTCCCCCTCATGTCCCATTCAGGGAGGAGAGGTAAGTGACAATCATATGCAAACTGTAGAATCGTTTGGATGCAATAGAAAAATGTCTGTAAAGGGAGTATGTTAAATATTGAGAACATTTTGGAGATGCCAGTTTGCTTTTTGAATTATGTCACTTTTGAGATCTCAGAAATAATCAGAAAACAGTCAATGGTTAGAAAAGTCAGTGTAGAACTTGGCTCATTTTCATAGCCTTTTTGTTGTTGTCTTGATGTTTGCACTGAGAATTAGTAAGTATTGCTTCAAGGAATCCTTAGTAGAGTTCTTTGACCATTTGCTTTGCTTTTTGGAAGGCTTTGTTGTTTGTAAAGAAGAATTAAGTGTTCACTTAGAGCAAGGATTGAAATTTATGTACTTGTTTCATTTTTACTTTAAAATATTTTAAACAACTGTGGATCTATTCTCATGGCCACATTGTTGCAGTGCTTGATTACCTTTATGTATAGATCCACTCTTTCAGGACTGAAGTTGTCAGACCTCACTTTGCTGCCACAGTTTTATCTTACCTTACCTTCTTTCACACCCAAATATAGATCTTTCTTATGAATGGTAGTTACCTTCAAACTATTTCTCTACACATTGAACAAACTGAAATCTTATGAGATTTATTTTCCTGATGCTTGCAATTTTTTCAGTGGTCTTGGTCTCTACATATTCACAGGATTTAATGCTTTGTAGTACCAACAATGTTGTAAGCAGTGCAAAATCGGTTTCCTGTAGTTTGATATGTTTTGCTTATTTAGTCAGTTGGGCACAGAACCAGGATAGCACCTACAGAAAGACTTCATTTTCATTACAGCTTAGCCTTTTTTAACCGCTTCCTCTTCTGTGTTCTTTTTTTTTTCCTGTTAATACTCTGGCTGTATTAAATGTATTTTTGTTTAACTAAAGGTAAATCAATAGATTATTATATAAAGGTAAATATTCTTCATTATATGGTATAGGAAATATGCATAAATGAATCTGTACTTTTTATTTGAAGGTTTCCAGAGCAGGTTTAGTCATCTTCATGGAATGCCAGCAAGAAACACAAAAAAGGCTCCAGGAAACCAAAATGCATTGGTATGTCCTTTCATTGATACTAACATTTCTACAAGCCATTCTTATTGCCTTTTTGTTTGTAAGAGCATACTCCTCTCATTCTTGTTTCCTAATGTTGTGAATAGGTAATGGAAAGGTAAGACTTCTGTGTCACTGCTGTTTCTGTGCTTTAGACTCTCTCTACTACAGTTCTATTTTAATATATTATATCTGAGTGCTAAAATGGCAAAAACAATCCAAGATTGTCCCTCAGTGCTTATTTTGCGCTTTGTGTAGGAAAAGGTATTTTGGTTTTCTTATAATTAACAAAATTTTTAGTATATATATCTTAAGTGTGTATGAAAATATGTTTCTCTCCTCTAAGAAAATCAAACCCAATTCATTTCAATTTTATCTAATACTGATGGCGTTCTAGGATGGGTATGTGATAGTAGCAGAAATGTTAAGTCACGGCTTGAATCAGTGGTTGAGCACCTGGTGGGAAGGCAGGGCCAACCCAGGGGAGCTCAGGTGCATACAATACACCTGAGTGACAGGAAGAGATGAAGCTAGAAACCCCTTCATTTAAGGGTTGGCAGTAGAGGCAAGAGTATCTTGCTGGAGGTCCCTGTGTACCTGAGATCTTGTGAAGGTGAGCAGATTCTTTCCTTCGTGTCTCTGCTCATGACTGTTGCATTTGAGCAAGTCCTCACTTGCTGATGCATAGTACTATTAGCTAGCTTTTTTCTAAACTAAGATTCTAACGAGTTTTTTACAATTTCTTTCTTTGGTGGAAGTCATGAAGAGAAGGAGTTGACTTCTTAACTTAAAATGTTTAAGTATGTTTACTGTAGCACAGTCTACTCCTTTCTTATCAGAAAAGTGATTGGAAGACAGGGAGAGATGTGAAAGACTATCATATCGGGCTATGTTTATTATTCACTGGTAAATACTGCAGCATTGACTTTCTTTGTTATTTGGGAACAGTACATGTTTTCAAATTCTAATTTGTTTTAACAAAAAAAGATAGTTCTGGGAAATGTAAGTTCCATTGCATATGCAAAGAATAAGATGGAACTGTTAGAAATGTAACTTTTTAAAAGAGAAGGTTTTTATAGCCATTGAAACCTCTATCCAATAATTGCCATTTGAAGCAGAATAAGATGCCTTAAAACCTTGGCCTGTGATCTCTGCTGTTAGTGGTCATGAATTAGATGAATGTTATCTAGTTCTTGGTTTCCTATCTACCTATTTTTATTTTTGGTTCAGTGCTTGCTTGAGCATATCTAGGATTTGTAGCCCATTTTCTAAGCTTATTGCAATTTCACTCTGATACTTTATAGGAGCTATTATAACTGATAGGTTAGCTTCATGGTATTGATGATACATGGCTTAACTACCCTAAAAACTGCCTTTTCCTCTAAATTGTAAAAAGGTGATTAAGTTTCAATTGAAGATATACTGTGAATGTATATATATGATAAAAGCCCCTAATGTTTATTTTCTTCTATGCTTTCTAGGTTATCCTTAGCCCATTTTGTCTTCCTGCCGTGATATCTCATATATAAAGATAGTATCATAGTCTGCTTTATAACAAATTCAAAAGCTGATCTACTAAAGACTGATAATTCAGTTTCAGTTATTAAATATATCAGTTACATAGTGTTGTGAAACAAGGTTGACATCTGAATGTACATTCTAAACCACTATGTTTAGACAGGATAGCATAGATAGAATGGATGTGCAGTTGCCTCTTCAGATGCAGAGTTTTCTGACCTCCCTAGCAACTATTTATGTTTGTAGGCACATCTGATGCATCTGTCTTTGCAAGAGCTCATGTACTTCCTTTTAGGCAGTGATTGCTTCTTAAAGAAAATATTTTTAGATACTTCAATGACAAAAAGTAATTTAATACCTATGACATGTGATAAAACAGAACAAGAGGTAATTACTGCTATTAGATGGTAACAGTGAAGAAGAGCAGCAATGCTTTTAGAGAGATTAATATCCTGAGGAAAGAACACTGCATACTCAACTCATTGAACAGAGTTGTGATGTGACTTCTTTCATTATTTTTTTTTTAATAATGGTATCCCTTTTTGTAATCTCATGTCTCTATTGCTGCTTTTACACAGACTTTAAGGGACACACAGAAGAAAATGTATTTTCCTGCGAAGATACGTTTCCTAAAGTACACAGTTTATATTCAGTCTAAAGATGTGTTGTCTGTATCTGTGGAATGTGAGCATAGAGTTAGTGCTTTGTGAGACAGTATGTGTTTAGAACTTTTTTTTTTTTGCATGATTTAGTTAAAGGTTTGTGCATGTAGCAGCTTGAAAAGATTACTGGCTTTGAGAATGCAAAATGCAGAGGTCAGATAATACTTTGACAGATCGTCACCCTCTAGGAAAGATTTTAAATGCTCAACTGTTTACATGCTGTGAGAGAAACATCAGGCTAAATGTCTTCATGACGATTCGCTATGTCCCAAGGAAGATGACAACTTAATTTTCTCACCCTTATTTCTAGAAGTAGCGGGAATACGGAGTCAGAGGAAATTACCTCTTTGCAGGTCAGGTAGTGATCTTTAATATGAAGTATCCACATCTGATGTTCAGATTCTGTCCAGATATTTTTCCTGCATTTCATTCAATGACTAGTTCTTTAAGCACACTCATAGAAACTTTCTATCACCAGTTTACTGCCTTTGAATCAAAACACTTTTTTAATAACTGTGCAGCATTGCACAAACATCGGAAGTAAAACACAGAACAGTGTAACCAGGACAAATACTGTAGAAATCTCTACTTAATGTAATGTGCAGGTTGAGCAAGCAGGTAGCAGGCAGGTAAAAACATGAGCACAAAAATTTAAAATCTATATATTCGTAAGAAATACTTATTTCCCTTGGATTGTTCATTGTACTTACCAAAGAAAGGTACAATTCTTAATGGAATCCATAAATTAAATAATTTATCAGGCATATATTTTGGCATGTATTTATGATACTGAGATTTCACATCTCTATTGCTTTGCATTATGGCATTTTTAACAGAACTTTCTTTGAAAAAAAAAGGAAAAGTGTTACTTGTGTAATGCACTATACTTTTGATCCTGCCTGTGTCATATTTCTTGTAGCGGTTTTATAGTTCTAATCAGAAGCATGGTTGTTGCAGTTGGAAAGATTAGTGTAATGGGAAGGTGATACAAGAGTGAAATGGAAAAAAGGACAAATGAAAAGAATGCTTGCTTGTCTCTGAAGATCTAGGCTTGCAGGGAAAAACTCCACAAGGGATGGATTTCCAGTCAGAGATCCTTCCCCTGTGGCAATCAGCTCTAAAATGGGTTCTAGGAGAGGTGCAGCCAATTCCACCCCTTTTGGTCACACAGCTGAATTGCCTTCACCTGTGCTCTGAGGGCTGACCCGGTCCTTTCCCCAAGTGCTCAATCAGTGATTCAGGCTGTGATTCAACTGTTCCCTTACAGTGGTAAGAGTACTTTTATACCATACTAATATTTAACAAACTCTTAACAACATTGTATTGTGTGAAATTACATTGTTTGCTTGAATTCTGCAGTTGTGTATGATCTGGTTTACACAGTTCCTTTACCAAAAATGGGCAAAGATGCTGCAGGGCTTTGTTTAAGGTCTCTTACATGTTTCTTTTTTGCAGCTTTGATTCTTTATGTAGGCAAAAACCTGGGAAGTGATTTCTCTGGGTTACAGTGTAAAAAGCATAATCAATAAAAATGCTTTCTCTCAACTGCACAAATTTTTCCATCTATTACTTACTATGAGTTTTGATTTTCATGATTCATAAGAAAACCTCCTCTTGAGTCTTTTGTTCTTAGGGATGTCTCTTTTTCTTTTAGCACAGTTGTACTATTGAGCTTAACAAAATGTAGTTGCAATTATTAAAAATTACATAAGGCATGAAAGCTATCATCTATAGACCTGTTATTCAAGGTCTGATTTTGGGTTATTTCTGTCAAATCCTGCAACTTTGTTTCTCTCACACACATGTGCTTCGCATACAGAATTCAGGTAACTACTACCATCTTAATTTGAAGAGAAGACATATGGAGAATTCTTCCTGCTTTCAAGATTAGAAATTCAATTTCTAAGTACTGAATAATTGAAGAAACAGCTAGATGTATTCAGGTGCTTTTTCTTAACATATTATTTTGGAAATTGAATGAAGTGGTGTTATATGACAAAAAAACTTTTTTACAGATATCTTCTTTAAAGAGGGAACTGAGCACTGTTGTTACAGTATCATTCATAAGCCTCTTCATGAAGGCTGTGCTGCAGCTCAGCTCTTGTCTCCTTCAAAGCTGCTGCAGTTCATTAGCCAAACATGAGTTCAAATACCAGATGTATAGATTTCAACCAAACAGTGGAGAGTCAGTTTTGTTGCTATTTCTGTTGCTTAAGCATGTATCCCCTTCTACCATAATTAAGATAAACAGAAATCCTCAGCTAGCTTGAAATAGTTCGAAGGGCGCCAACCAGTGATGGTGAGCATCTGTTTCTTTTCATCTTTTCTTAGATTTCTTTCAGACTGTTAGTTGGAATGACATTTTTTTAACAAATCAATAATTAGATTTCTCAACATGCGTGGAAAAAGTGTACTTCTTAATCTTTAACTATAAACCATCCTTGATACTTACAATCTGTCTTCTAAGCCTTCATAAGTAAGAAGGAGCTGAAGCAACTGGTAGCCTAGCTACTGCTTCTTTCTTGTCTCTTCCTGCATCAGTACAGAAGGCAAATATTTAGAAAATCCAAAAATCTCTAGTTGAAAACTAAAAATACAAGTAAACTGTAATGGCTTGTTCCAACAGTCCTTGAAAGAGAAACTCTTAAAAAAAAAAAAAAAAAAAAAAAAAAAGTCATGTTCCTTAACAGATGTCTTTCTTGCCTTTACTACTAATGCTGTTCATATGTTCTTTGTATGTCTAAAATTTCCAGCACTCCATTTTTTTGTTTTATCTCAAACTGTGGTTGAACTATGATTTTGCAATGAGTTGGAAAATAAAAT